TAGTTTGGACCCACTGTCTTCTCTACAGGAGATAGATGTGATAGTCTATTTCCATAAAGATTCTTATGTATTTTCAAGTCAGAACTGACTCATAGCTAACCCCCCGTGGTTTTAAGAGACAGCAAATCTCACAAGAGGAGATTTACTTTACTGTTTCTTTGGAGCAGTTGGTGGATTCAAACCATGAACCATTGGGCTGATAGTGCAACTCCTTACCACTAGGCCACTGGAGCTCCTAGAGAGATTAGAGCCTAGAAGACTCTATGAGGAGTTCTGCTTTGTCATATAAGGTCACTCTGAGTTCGAAGAGACTCAATAAAGAGCTCACAGGCATATCAGCAGCAATAGCAAGGCATGCAGAAAATGAAGACAATGACTTCTCTTTGGAACATTATACCTAGGAATGCTTTTTTTCACTGTCATCTAGTCAGAGCCAGCTCATCGCTGACCCTCCATCAGGCTGTAAGGTTAAGAGGATGACATTGGTTCTCTTTCTCCCTCAGAGCTGCTGTGGATTCGGATTGCCAGAGAGGCACGGCCTTTGGACTAGCAGTACAACTCTAAATACTCCCCAAGGAATGATAGCATTTAGGGAAAAGCAGCCAAGGGGATTAAACGTCTTTCTTGGATTTCAGTGGAGGACATGCTTTATTTCAAGGAGCAGCCTTAGTATAAATTGGCATTTAAAGAAGGATGGTAGAAAATAAAACTATGACAGATTGTAACCCTAATATGAGCCAAGAACTTTATATATGATAATTTCTAATTGCCACGGGGACCCTGTAAGGTAAATATTTTATTATTCTTGTTCCACAGATGAATAAATGGATGGAGAAAGGCTATTAATGTCCCCACGGAATGAAGTCTATGTATTACAATGAGCTGAAACTTGAGCCTTGAGACTTGGCCTGTCTGACTTCAAATTTACCCCATTACCACTTATGATTTTGTTATGCTCAATAATTTATAAATCACAAACACCTCTTTTGAAACACAAACAGCAACTTTACACTTGGACTTCACCTGATGGACTACATAGGAATCAGATTGACTACGTCTGTGGAAGGAATCGCTGGAGAAGCTCGATATCAGCAGTTAAAACCAGTGCAGGGACAGACTATGGAGTAGACCATCAATTACTCATGTGCAAGTTCAAACTGAGGCTGAAGAAAATGAAAATAAGTCTACAAGAACCAAAATACTGTTTTGAGTCTATCCCTCCTGAATTAAAAAATTATATTAAGAATAGGTTTGAAGCCTTGAACACCAACGATCAAAGATAAGTTGTGGGATGACATCAAGATAACATTCATGAAGAGAGAAAAAGATAATTCAAAGACAGAAGAGAACGAAAAACTAAATAGATGTCAGAAGAGACTCTGAAAATTACACTAGAGCATTGGGAAACCAAAACAAAGGAGAAATAGATAAACAGAAGATTTCAAAGGGCAGCTCGAGAAGACAAAGTATTATAATGGAATGTGTAGAGAACTGGAATTGGAGAATAAAAAGGGAAGAACGCAGTCAGCATTTCTCAAGCTGAGAGAACTGAAAAACAAATTTATTTAAGTCTCAAGTTGCAATACTGAAGGATGGTATAGGCAATATGTTGAATGATCCAGGAAGCATCGAAAGAAGATGGAGTAAATACACAGAGTGACTGTATCAAAAAGAATTGACTGGCACTGAAAATTTCAGGAAATACCATAAGAACAGGAGCTAATAGTAATGAAGGAAGAAGTTGAAGCTGCACTGAAGGCTTGGAAAAAGAAAGAAGCCCCCAGGAATCAGTGGGATACCCATTGACATGTTTCAGCTAAGAGATGCAGCCCTGGATGTGCTCATCAGATTATGAGAGGAAATTTGAAGAATAGCTGTCTGGTAGATAGGCTGGAAGAGATCCGTATTTATTCCCATTCCCAAGAAAGGTGTTCCAACAGAATGTGGAAATTATCCAACTATCACATTATATCATATGCAAGCAAAATACTGCTAAAGATCATTAAAAAATGGTTAAAGCAGTACATGGATAGGGAACTGTCAGAAGTTCAAGCAGGATTTAGAAGAGGCTATGGGACCAGGGATAGAATTGCTAATGTCAGATGGATCCTAGGTAAAAATAAAGAATACCAGAAGAATGTCTAACTGTGCTTTATTGACTATGCAAAGTAGTTTGACTGTGTTGTTCACAAAAATTATAGCTAATTTTGGAAAGAATGGGAACCCCAGAACACTTAACTGTGTTCAGTTGAGACCTAAACCTAGACCTAGACCTGTTGTGGGAAGAGAGTAAGGGAACACTGCGTGGTAAGAAAGGAGTGTGCCAGGGTTGTATCCTCTCTCTGTACCTATTCAATCTGTATGCTGATCAAATTCTTTGAGAAGCTGGGCTTTATGAAGAAGAATGTGGCCTCAGGATCAGAGGAAGACTCATCAATGAAATACATTATGCAGATGACATAACCTTGTTTGCTGAAAGTGAGGAAAACGTTAAGCTCTTGCTGCAGATTTAGGAAGACGGCCTTTAATATGGATTACATCTCCAATATCAAGGAACCAAAAATGCTTACCACTGGACTGATAGGCAACATCATGATAGATGGAGAAAAGTTTGAAGTTGTCAATAATTTAATCTTACTTGGATCCACAATCAACACACTTGGTACAGCAGTCAGGAGATCAAGAGATGTATTTCATGGGGAAAGTCTGCACTTGGGGACCTCTCCAAATTATTGTGGAGCAATGAATGGTGTCAGCTTGAAGACTAAGGTACATCTGATTCAGATCATGTCTTTTCAGTCACTTGCTGTGCATCTAAGAACTGGACAATGAATCAGGATGACAGGAAGAATTGATGCCTTTGAATTGAGGTTTTGAAGAAGAGTGCTGAATATCCCATGGTGTGGCAAAAGAACAAACAAATACATCTTAAAGAAAGGGAGCCAGAGTAACTCTTGGATGCAAAGATGATAGAGCTTTTTTTACATACTTCAGGCATGTTGCTAGAAGAGTCTATTCCTTGGAGAGAGGGATGTCAGGCTGGGGAAGGTGGAAGGACAGCGAAAGAGAGGAAGACCCTCAGCCGGATGCATTGACACAGTGACTACTGTAGAGGGCTCAAGGGTGTCCAAAATTATGAGGATAGTACAGAACAGGAGAGGGTTCAGATCTGCTGTTCACGGCGTCACTGTGGGTTGTACTCAACAACGCCTAATAACAACCACCACTAGAACCACTTCAGCTTCTCAGAGTAAGTATTCTATGCACCATGTCCAGTAACAGTCACTAGGCAGTGCTTTGCCTGAGAAGCTGACACTCACCCTCCCCACCCGCACCCACTGATTCCTGTCAAAACTGACTCATAGCTGAGACTCTGGTGGATTTCTGGGGCGGAGATTGCCCATATTTCTCCTGTAGAGCTATTTGTGGATTCAAACCACTAAAGAGGCACAGTCCTTGGGTGAACAATACACTTCTTTGTGGATTAGGCCAACAGATCTCTAAAATTGTTTCTAAAAAGCTCATAAAACCCAAGAGAATTCTGTAGAATGGAAGTATACTAAGTGTATTGTTGTTATGTGCCATTAAGACACTTGCAACCCATAGTGACCCTATGTACGATAGCTCTGCACTCTGCTCTGTTCTGAGCCAGTCTCATGGTCTCTGACACACCTATCTCCATTACCCCAGTCACTGTGTCAATCCATCTCATCCAGGGTCTTCCTTTCCTATGCAGTCCCTCTACTCTTCCAAGCATGATGTCCTTCTCCAGGAACTTCCCTCCTGGCCACATGACCAAAGTATGAAAGATGGAACTTCAAAATTCTTGCCTCCAAGGAGCTGCCTGATTTCACCTTCTTCAAGATAAACAAACCTATTTGTTCTTTGGGCAGTCCATGGTATGTTTAATACTCTTCTCCAGAACCTCAGTTCAAAGGCATCAGTTCTTTTTCTGTCAGCTTTGGTCATTGTCCAGCTTTCTGAAGCAAAGTAAGTAATTGTGAAGACCTTAAATATATTATTGTTTACTGTAGAATCAGAATCAATCCATAGCTGACTGACCCTCCAGTGGGTTTTCAGATGCAGTTAATCAAATGGGAAATTACCCATCCTTCTCCCAAAGAGCAGCTCATGGCCTTGAACTTTATGCCTTAGGGATTGCAGTGCAGCTTCTTGCCACTAGGCTACTAGAGCTCCCTTAAGTACAATAGTGGATTACATATTTAAGGTTATTTCATTCACACACTGCTGTTAAGTCAGAACCAACTCATAGCTGACTCTCCTTTGGGATTCTGAAGCTGCAAATTGCATTGGAAGAGATTACCCATCTATGTCTCTCAGAACCACTAGGGAGGGACAGGCTTTGAATTAGCAGCATTAGTCACTATGGACTATACCACCAGAGCTCTAATAATTGGTGTTATAATAGACAAAAATCTTTAGCAGCTTAACACAGGGGAAATGCATTTCTTACTTTTGTGAAGTTCTGTCAGAGGTGAGTGAGGTGGGGGTGCAAGGTTCAAGTCATTCAGAAACTCACAGGGTCAGCTCCACACTTGGTCCCCAGGTCAGCAACATGAACAAGCATACCAGCAGATGGGGCTGGAGGGTGGAGGGTGGACAGTGCAGGATCACCTGGGAAGTATTCTGGGCCAAACTTGAAATTCAAGGGCATTGCTTCTGACTGCTTTCTCTTGACCCAAACTCAGACATATGGCACAACCTCATTTCAAACCAAGGCTGGGAAACTAGTCTGGCTGTGTGTTAAGGAGGAAAGGGAAATGGGTTTGGAAAATAGCCAACCAGTATCTGCCACAAGTAATAGAAGGAGTGGGAGTTTGGGATGAGCATCCCCATCCAACAGGGAGACTAGATCCAGAAAGGAAGTGAGTTAGAGCAGTTCCTCTGAATAGATTCTACCCTGGTTGGGTGTAGATGTTTTAAATAAATAAAAATAGATATCCTGGCCATTCCTCAATAACTCTGGCTGTTTGCAGTAGGTGATGATGGATGCCTGGAAAACACCCCCGATACAGCTGAGTTCAGTCGAGAATTCCAGTTACACCAGCACCTTTTTGATCCGGAACATGACTATCCAGGCTTGGGCAAGTGGGTAAGTGCACTCAACTCTTCATTACTAGGGGATTTTACACTCTGGCATGCTGAAAGTACTGATGGGGGTGGAGAAAAGCACTGGGGGCAGGGGAGGGGAGAAGGAAAAAATAATTTATAAACTGGTAAAAGTAACTCTTATGTATCATAACTTGTACCGACTTCATCAGTTACCATGTCCAGAGACTTCTGCTGCAGTCTCCACCACAGCCTGGTCTGGTTCATATATGGTCTAAAGAGCTTGGCTCATACATGGTCTAAAGTCTCACCAGTGTCTCATCCAGCTCTTATAGGATATGTCTAAAAGCATAATTTTTTTAACGTTTGCTGAGACCTAAAGGGCAGCAATTGCCCCTCAAAATGCTCAGAAGACAAAAAAGCTCATTGTCATCAAGTTGTAACCAGCTCATGTCGGTCTGTCCATTGGGGTTCTGAGACTGTAGCTCACAAAGGTGCAGACTGCCCATCTATCTCTTGATGGTGGATTCAAACTACCACAAAGGAGCTGCCTTTGAGTTAAAGCACAGCTCTCTAGACTACACTGCCAGTATTCCTAGAAAGCATCAAAGGGTGGGAAACAGGGCTAGATAGAAATAGGAGACTAGGGAGGAAGTTGAGAGTGCTGTTACATTGAGGAGATCACAGCAGCTTTCATGAAGCAAAATGGGTCTTAAGTGGAATCTAAAGTGTTTTCTAAATTTTCACTCACAATTTAAAAAATTTTACTGAGAAAAATTGGTCTCTAGACTGAAGGGGTAATTTCAGCAGAATCAAGGAAGGAAATGCCAGAAATTTAGACATAATTCTACTTTAAAAAAAAGAAAGAAGAGTTCCAAGATATAAAGTAGTAGAACTTGCTCTCTATCCCAGGTGAGAATCTATGGCTTTGGATTAAAGTAGTTGTCCCTAATTGGAAAGAAAAATCATGACCATTTGTCATAGTTGCTAACAAGGCGTCTTATCAATAAAGTTGTATTCATTCATTTGCAAAAATTATTAACTTACCAGTAAGTGATCATGGTGCACGTGTATTGGAAGGGGTAAAGACAGACCATCACCAAAGGGAGCTTGTTAACTGAGTCTGCAACCACAAGAAAGGAAATTTCAGATCCTAGCCTGCATGTCTTAAAGATACCCTGTTCCATATTTTATCAGTGTTGCTAGTGAAAATGTAAAGTACTCTGAAAATTGCACTGGAG